TCACATTTATTTCATCAGTCAATATGCTCTTAATTTGTACAGTGAAAACGAAAAAAAATATCAAAAATAAAACAAAACAATTATTAAATAAATAGATAAATAAATTTTAAAAAAATGACTTTTTTAGAAGCGTACCAATACTTATAAAGTAATAACCTAACATTTGTTTCTTTAAATTTGTAAACGAAAGGTTTAATTATTTTTATTTTTTTGGTAATGTCATATAAAATTAATGCATTACTGCTTGAATGTTGGTAGTAAAGGACTAAATGAGTGTTATACTATAATTACTGTGCTAATTAAACTGTTGCATTATAATGAGTGTCAGTCTCAAAATACGTAACCAGCGTACTGTTAATGTCGTACAGGGTAAGAAGCACGAAAACAATCTCATTTCAAAAATGGTAATTGTGATGTTGAACGTAGTATAAATGATATCTATCAATTTGATTATAATTCTTTAATGTTGCCATTTTCTCAAATATTTGGGGAAAAAATGGAATAAAAACCAGGAAGCATAGTTATGATCATTCCAAAGATGAAACGTAGAAGGTAGACAAAAGATAAAAGTCTGTAATTTATTTTCTAAAGATAAAATGTCGACAATTTTCCTGAATATTCCAAAGAGCAATTGCATGTTTCTTCTAATTGTCCTTCTAGAAATTGCCTTCATAACAGTTTTAATTACTCTAAATATATCGAGAAATCTTAAGTGACTTATTTCAAAAATAAAATCGAACAAATTTACTCTGATTAATATCTTCACACGTAAATAGGAGAAAATGTTCGTTCAAAAACCATTACTTAACACTTGGAGACTTACTAACACATTGGGTGTTTTCCATTATTTAAACAACATAAATTGAATCTTTTGATCCGGACTAATGTCGTTATTAATTTTGACCATTTAACAGCCTATTGCCTTGAGGTATATAGACAACATTCAGTTTGATAATAGCACAAATACGGTAATTGACTAGTTTTTAAAGCATAATACAACCATCAATCAGAATATCACTTTTACCATATAAAACAAATAATTGAATTTGCCGATACACAAATTAAAAATAACATTTTATCAAATGACATTTAAATTATCAAACTCAAAAATTTGAAAAAAAAACAGTTAGGGCTACGGGAAAGTGTTCCAAATTTCATTGCATTTAACTTAAACAAATTATTCACTACCAATAAGCTGTAATTAAAGATGATAGTAGAAAAAATGTTACCAATTCAGATGTAAAAGAGCGAGATATACTGACATAAAAATAAATCCTCTACATTGAAAATTATTTTGATATTACAGGTTTTGCTGTCCTTATGGAATGGAACGGTAAGATGAAAGTAGATAAAACTATTGAAAGTTGGCCATGTCAAAGCTATTTGATGAATTGGAAAATATGAATATAAATAGCAATGTCTTGTTTGAGTGATGGTTTTCATTAAATAATTATGTATGATTTACCATAACTATGAACTATGATTATCAAGCGACGAGAGGTATACTGCACCCTTAATGAAAGACATTGAAAATGCATACCAAACCAGAAACTAATCATCAGAAAACGGCAAATCATAAGTGAATATCCTTTACATTAATTGGTTTTTAATTGAAGTCTTTTCTGATTCCGATGTTACATAACCCACTCTGAAGCAGATATGTTACTACAGGATAGAGACAGCTTGACATAAACGATTTGTGTGAGTATTTCAGAACAAGGCGCGTTTGTGGTATAGCCAGATGCATAATGAGTCTAAATTGAGATTTATTGTTTGGAAGTGGCTGAAGATAAAGTTTGATCTCACAGTAGGTAAAAATAGTTCAGTAACACAGACGGGGGCTAGCAAAGGACAGACGCACACACATACATTTTCATGGAGATTAATTAGATTTTACCATTCGAAACGAATGTTGATCTCCAAAGCTCCATTAACAAAGTATTCGATACCAGATTTAGATGCTGTCGACTGGAGATTCTCTCCTCACTAACATTTTCTTTGAAAGGGATAGGAGACGTTTAGTTTGTTGATGAAAACAAAACTATTCAAGAAAAAACAAACAGCACATGCAACACTCACAACACACGTGACAGCGTAAACCCAAGACGTGCGCGTGGAGTATTTTAGAGTCCATAAATCTTTAAAGTAAAAAACACATTTATATGATTGATTAGATACTGATAAATAATATTTAGAAAGCCATTCATTACCTGTATCATAGAATTGTTTTTGAGGATAATTGTGATGATAAGAACAAAAATAAAGACAAAATGTTCTTAACTATTTATGGTTTTAGAAAGGAAAAATAAGGATGAGTTTAACCACAACATAAAAAATACCAACATGTCAACAAAATCTGAATTCAAACTCCAAACTAGGGCAAAATTTTAACAAAAGACATATTTATAAGGAAATATGTATATATGCAAGTATGTCTTTGATAATTTATTTATATGAATATACAATAACACATATTCCATAATAGAACGTTGAATAATATATAGAATAATTTATTTCACAATATATATAATTTCATTTTAAATAAATGGTGGTTATTATTATCAAATAGCTTTCAATATCTACTTTGCTTTTACACACTAATTTACATACGTACGGTATTAAAATATTAATATAGGTACATACATAATGAGACTAATAAACATGTAATAAAATGAAGCAAAGCTATGGACCACATTACCAAAAATTATGGACCTAGTTCTTGAAAAAATGTTATATTGCTTTAATCGGCTTTTGTATTATTTGGATTTGTTTACTAGCTTGTGATATTGCAATATCTACAAATAAAAGCATGGTTACAATAAATTATCTAAATTTCTGTTTGATGTGTGATAATTTGAAACTTTTTAGTATCTTATCATGTAAAACAACATGAATAAGACGCAACATGGCTATAGAATACACTCAGAAAGGTAAACTCTACCAAAAGGATTCAGATATCATACACATTTTATTAAGTGATGCATAGTTTAACTGTCATATTGTCAAATCCATTTCTTTTCGATCTCACATGAATATATTTCACTGAATTTTTCGATAGTTTTCACATTTTAATGCGTTTTTGGACAGTTGAAAATTATGTTTTGGTTTTTACTCTGTTACACAAATATATGATAATATTCTTTGGCATAACTTATAAAGTAACAATTGTATTATAGACAGTTTATTAAAACGATATATCGTATGTTAGATTGTGTGATAATTCCATCTCATCATTTTTACATTTCTATCGCTTCGTTGCCCGTGGCAAATGTATGACTAACCTCATTCTTTACGACACAATGTATTATAAATCGGATACATTTGTTATTGCCATAAAAGTAGATAAGGAAGAGAAATTTAAATCAATTATTCATTTTTCCCATTTGCCATTATATTGAATCCGTTTATCAATCAGAATCGAAATCTTGACGTCTTAAAAGAAAGAGAACCTTTCACATACGAAACAAATCGACAAATTAGATAAAAATAAGAGAGAGAGAGAGAGAGAGAGAGAGAGAGAGAGAGAGAGAGAGAGAGAGAGAGAGAGAGAGAGAGAGAGAGAGAGAGAGAGAGAGAGAGAGAGAGAGAGAGAGAGAGAGAGAGAGAGAGAGAGAGAGAGAGAGAGAGGGAGAACGAGAGAGAGAGAGAGTATGTTATAAAAATAATTATATACATAATAAGCGAATGTGTGATGCGGTTTATTTATTGCTCAAGCCAATATCTAAACAAGTTAAATAATAATAATAATAAAAAATAACCAAATACATATTTTGATATTTATTTTTATTTGCATAGAATTGTTTCATGATTAGCAGTACAAGCGCCAACAATCAAATCACAAAGCCCGTTTTTAGAACGGAGTAGAAAGACTGCTATCAACAGAGGACAAGACAAAATATAGAATTTTCTTTTGTAAATTGTATATATAAAATGTATATTATATGAAACGAATTTAAAGTAGGCAGAGTGAATTATCCGATATTTCGTCGTCATTATGATATATGCTTTTACGAATATAGTTTACATATCTACACAACTATACCATTTCTACTTGTATAAATATGGTATTGACAGTCGGTCGATTTTTGTACAATACGTACATATGTATAAATATTTTGACGATGAAGTAATATACACCCCGATTATATCTGTTTCATATTAATTTTACAAATGTACGCTACTACAAGTGTTTGTGTTGCCTGAATCCATTTACATTTACCGAAATTCTTCAATTAAACTTCATAAACAAATTGTCGATATTGTTAAGATTCCTTAGTAGAAAAAATATTAAAACCTTCCTTGAGTAGTCAAACTACCTACACGTATCAATTACACAGAGTTGAATTAGTGCTGTTAAACACTATATCGCATTAACTCTATACAAACATGGCTTTAATTTAGTTAGCCAGCGTTTTTCACATAGAAACCGCCGTTTCAGAAAAAAACCCCTTGAAATGCTTGTTAGAATTGATAACTCCATACTAATTAACAGAACATTCCTAATAATTAATACATAATATAATTAGCGTCCACTGATCACACTTACCTTTATTTACATATGATAATAACCCATGTTTTAAGTGCTTGAACATAATGGTAATTTTTGATATTCTAAAATTATTTTGTGATAAAGATTAACGTCACCACTGTCATGGAGGACTGCTATATTATGCAATTAATTCTAATCAACACACTTGGCTGATTTACCTGTGAATCTATCTATCATCTTCCAAAGAATTACAATCCACTTGGTTTAGATATATCTCATTTAATTTCACTTTCACATTTTTCATGTTCATTGTTGCTATTCATTTGAAAACAAAATCAGTGATAATATTCCGATTTCCATAGTAACCAGCTAATATATATATTATATGCTTACATAAAACGTCCGTGTCCGTTAGAATATCCTTTAGTCCTGCATAGTGTTTCGCACGTGACCTAGGTTTAAACATCCAGTATCACATGATATAGCCACGTTACCAAGGTTTTCATATAGGTCATTTTGGTATTCGATCCTTGCCTGATTCACAGTTAGGTATAAATTTTGCCTCCTTTTTCCACTTCATACGTCGATTTTGAAACCAAATTTTGATTTGGCGTTCCGTCAAACAAAGCACGTGAGCAATTTCTATCCTTCGTCTCCTGGTCAGATATTTGTTAAAGTGAAATTCCTTCTCGAGTTCTAACGTCTGATAACGTGTGTACGTCTGCCTTCCCCGTTTACGATTTGGACCTGAAATCAAAATGAATTTGTATTTATGGTGAAATATTAGCCCCCACTAACAGCCATATATCCACATGTTTATCACCGTTCTTCTATCCCCTACAACCGTTACATAGAACTGATGCTCCGCCCCGCTACCATTTTATGACAATTCTTAGCTGTAAAAATGACGATTTAGTCTAAAAATACTAGCCATTACTGTCTCCTAAATGGCCTCTAAAATGGCCTCTGGCTGACTTTCCCCACTATATCTTCTACCGATAGAAACAAAACGTAATTTCTGTTCCTGTGACGTTTATGACCATCACGCGGACTATAAGCTATAAAATAAATGACCCGAAGGTATAGAATTTGGCAAAAAGTGTCGAAGGTTAAAATAATTCAAGCTTAATTGACACACTATGCCTGGATTGTAAGGCAACTTTAATCGTTTAAGTATATGTTAATTGCTAGCTCAGGCTCATGTATTACAAAGTTAAGGATGTGACGATATGTTTGTTATCATTTATTTTATCACTATGTCTTGGCTACAATCTAAACCTCTGTATATTGGCACTATGTATACATAAAAAAAAACCTGAATCAATTGCCTATTCATGGAAACATTTTATGTCTGACATAAAATATGTGAAATTGATTATTACATGTTTATTGCTATAAGTGAAACTAACATGTATTATTTATATATTCGCAAAACATTTGAGTTATATTTAGTCCTAGACTCGTGTCCATAATTTCATGCTGTTTTATCAGAAATTTGCCAGAAATTATGCAAATAATTATGTTGTTTTACTACTTATTATTAAACGTTTAATCAAGATTTAATAAGAAAACGAAGTTTATAGTACAAGTTACGATTATTATATATTTTGTGGTGATTTACGTCGGTCAGGTTTAGGGCCATTTGCCTTCTCTAGCTGTTTATAGGATTCAAGGAAATTAAATATGTCATATTTTATTTGAATAAATGAAATAAATAATTATGTTATGAATTTATAGAAAATAATTATATATGTAGCTGTTTTTTTGTGATGAGATGTATAATTTATTTTAGACTGATCTGCCATATAAATATTACAGAACAAGTGTTGAATTTTAAAGGTGATGTATGAAAATAGTTTTGAATAAAACACAGTTATAAACTATATAACTTGATTTTCCTGGCTTTCTGAATAGTGAAAGAAATATTTATAAAACATGCATATTTGATAATATTGATTATTGTGTTTATAGATTTTCATTGTTTTCTGCATAAATGCGTTCACTTATGTATATGATATTGTGTTAACAAATACCAACTGACCAAATTGACTTTTCATCCAAGGGTAGAAGGGTTTACTAGGACTATAGTCGCTGTCTTGGCTTTCATCACCGCTTGTCGATTTCTTCTCTGTCAGGTTGTCCAGCGAATCCTCTGTCGGACTACCAACATCGGCTGACATAGAAACCGTTCTTGGGAATACGCTAAGTTCTCTAATGGATGTAAGAGGGAATTTATCAGGATCGTCTTTAGTAACACAATTGTGAGAGGTGCTAATGTTAGTATTAGACAAATCTTTCTGAAACTCTTTCACTATGGATGGCACTCTATGGCTATTTGCACTAAATATATGGGGATGCATATATGGCGTTCTGCCTCCAGGGGGAGCAACGTCCATAGTAGAACTGTATGAAACGTAATGTTGATGATAATACCCTGGGTTATCATGTAGACTATCTGAATGCCGAACTTCGCATGCGTTACCACTTCCGGCATCGCACGTGTTTCCTGTTCTAAAGTAGGACGGAATCGAGTTCGGCAAATAAGAGTTGACTTTCCTATACATCTTACTAAAAAAAACTCTCTGCCTGTACAGCACGTAAGATCAAAGACTTCTTGGATTCATTTCAACAGTGAACAAGTCGTAAATTGTCTGCCTCCGTTAGCATATCTGAAAGAGTGAAATTGTATGATTATAAATAAGTAAAGTAAACCACGGATCCTAAATCTACAGTTATGCTAGATATTTAAACAGTACAAAATCTATTGGAACTCTTGCTGTATATTAATTTCCTACTGGCGCATTATTTGGTTAAAAATGAAATAATTATGATTTTTTCCAGATATTTTATTTGTTAGATGATATTGTTAGCTCGGTAAACAACTTAATTATGGGTGGTTTGTTTAATTGAGTGCATTCGAGGCATGCTGTCTTCTTACTGACACATGCTGATTGGTATCACAAGATTCTTTTTCAGGAAATCAAATCAGAACATTAAAAACCTTATCTAACGTTGTATCAGCTGAAGAGATTTGATCAAAAAGATAAGAAACGCTGAATTTGCCAAAAGATAACTAAATTTCCTCTTATACAAATCACAATCTTTTAATTTTTTTGCACTTTTAGTAAGATCTGTGTGTTAGATTAACAAAGAAGGTCAGTTAATATCGGAGTATGGAATTTCAAATTTAAATATCGATTTTCATATGCGGTTTTAACCTACATTCCATGTAAAAAATGGTATATGTTGTTGGCTGTAGTCCATATGTACTTTACAGATGTTCTAAATATATATAGAAAAAAGAAGAGGCAATTTTAAACATTGTAATTGCAACATTTTGAGTGCATTCAATACCCTTACACAATCTTAACATTCCTACACATGAAAAAGGAAACCGACTTGAGGACTTGTATAAATCCAGGGTACAGCAATATATTTCCTTGTTAAAGGGGCAACTCATTTGTGATACAATATGAATGATATAGAAACAATGCAAATGACATATATAATAGTGATAGAAATATATGTTGAAAGTATAACTGCATGACCAACCATATTGATAATCCAATGACTTTTATCATTCGTTTACTCTTAGTATGTGCTTTACATGATATATGAGTTTTCCCACGTGCCAAACTATACTATTCAGAAACCACTTAAATTTTTGGTTAGGCACGGAAAAACAAAATTCAATTAACAATTATGATAGTTTTGGTATCCATTGATCTCTACATATAGATATAGAGTTCATTCTTTTTATAGGTAAATGTTTGTAATTGATGTAAAACAAATAAGATAAGTATCAGAAATATTTTTCAATGTTTTATCATCATCGTGACGTAAGTATTGTAATTACGTTCCAACCATCGTACACATATCACTGTCTTGGCATAAGTGAATATTCTCGTTTACAAATATGTTGCTTCATTGAGATGTCGGAAAGCAAATACTTTATATCTTAACAAGATAGAATGAGCAGAAAAAAATCTGCTATTGAAATTATTTTTAAGAAGTGCAATTTCTTAGATGTAGATTTTCTTAAATATACATTATGATATGACAGAATTTACCGGAAAAAGCTATTAAACATATTAAAATGTGAATTACTTTTTATTATTGACAAAGGTGTCTGAAAACCTTTGGTTGTTGCACAGGAACTGAGTAAGGAACAATGATAAATTACTACATGATTATATCTATATTTATAACTACAGTTAAATGATAAATGTGTTATGATAATTCATTCAAATACACCTAACATGGTGTCAGGAGTTATTGATGTGTGGTTACACGATGAATTAATATATGGTATCTGACAAAAGAGATATATGGGTTTTTCATTTATTCAAAAATGCTTTCTGTACGAACATTATGACTATGTTTGACTACGAAAACAAACCATTGTTAAAGCTGTACAAGGGTATATAAATATGCTTGACTAGTCAATGCTATACATGACAATTCATTATATATATCCCACATCTATCTAAACCAAGACTTCTATACTTTAAACAGTAGTCTATGATTAGGAAAAGTTAATACGGGACTTTGTAAGGACTACATCTGACAGCAACGACAATACCTTGCATTTCCAATGTCTTGAATCATACGCTTTATGACGGAACTCTCTGGTGAAGAAAATGATAAATCATTGTATAACCAGACAGATCTTCTCTTTTTTCTATAAATACCAAGGTCCCTTGGTTTGACATACGACATGTACTGGTATCATAGGTTAAAAAATACCTTAAACGTGATGATATTGACGAGAAACTTGAAAGTAGTACATTGCTCACTGAGACTTTTCTATATGCACAATAGGATGATAATGATTTAGAACATCAGTTTGACAAATTGATAATTCCTTCATAAAGAGATAGGATGTCGGGCAACATATTATATGACGCCAACTATGCAAAACTTTAAGAAGATAACACTTGTTATGACTAATATTACGTACAATGAGCATATGAATAGCACAGCGATGCAATAAATGGCACGATTAAAATGAATAAGAACAAACTAACAACACATTGTAATAAAAATAATTAAATTAGTTTAGAAAAATGACGGATTACTATAAATAAATTAACAACAATGCTTGATGTTTCCTTTAGTGACAAATGAATTATTCCAAAAGAAATGTCATATTTGACATTAAGGTATGCATTCATGACAATGTGAATGACTTAATCACAAATGCAGTGCTGCTGTCGTTTTGACACACATTTAAATTCAGTGTTAACTACTGATATTACCTTTCAAATCAAAAAGGAAATTGTTTTGCATTGGTGTAAATATAATGGAATTCATGCAATGAATCATATATCATTGTTGACATTAAAAGGAATTGTTTTTGAAATATCAAACAGTTATTGGGAATACCTGAGTATCAATTATGAAATACAAGGTATGTGATTAAGGTGGTATTCCAGAATACTTCTCATTAATGAAATTATCAATATTAATTGCTGATTGATATAACAAATCAAAATCTAAAACTATAATTCTTAAAGATAAAACAAAATTGTAAGGATTCGCAAAATACTGCCATATAACAAAACAAAAATGTTTCGAAGAAGAGCTATCCTGCATCATTATGAAAAAAAAAGAATGGAAAAAATAGAAAAAAAATTACAATGGCATATTTCCATATCACAGTTTCCTCCCCTTCATCGCAGCAACAAGTGTGCATGCAAAAGCATGCACCGATGCTTTTGGACTTCGGTATCCATGGTGGTGTACTAGTTAAACTTAAACAGACACATACCTTTAAAAGTTGAATAAAAAAGGCCAACTCTTTTCATCAGTTGAGTCTAATTTATAATTTATAAAAACTACCTTTGTCAATCGTCATGATTTGTGACATGTAAATGCATTCTGACCTTTTGTTTTTGCATGGAAACAGTATATTCATTGTTAATTTATTGTTTTTTTCTTCATAAATGTTACTATATGTAACACCAGTCATAAACAAACGTTTATCATCAAAGTAATGTTGTTTCAAAATGCAATAATTTATGTCTTTTTAAACAGTGTCTGACTAAAACGGGAGGTTACATAACATGAACTACAAAATGTGGTCAATCTAATTGTACAGTGGTAATCAATGATGTTGAAGGAGACAACCGCTAGATATCACCAGACACAGGATATAAAACATTGTATATAAAGACGACAAGGTCAGACTAAAGCCTGGAATGTCTATGTTTAATTAGATATCATCTTTTTATATATTAAGACGAGATATATGCAGTGATATGAAACTGTTCACGTAAAAGGCGCCATTATCTGGTTTAGCTTCATAGACAAACTTCAATAGGTATAAAGAATACCCGACCCAGGTGAATCCTCCTAATACACGAAAGCTATAATAGAGTGCTATGAATGAATTACACATTTTGGATTTCATAAGTAAAAATATATTTTTGGTTTACAAGCCACTTTTAAAAATCATCAAAAGATCCATAAAAAGTTGAATATTTATGTAGCGAAACAAAACATTGTGATATCAATTAAGAATTAATGATCATTGATAACTGTAGAATTTAGGGAAAGAAAAAAATATGCATTCAAACATTTCAAATGTTATATACAATAATGTAGATATTATGACAAATTTACGATACGTACTGGACCTATCAAGAGGTGATAAAGGGAAGGCTAATACTCAGTAATTGGCACGTGTGAAAGAACTCGTTCCAATGTACTACATTATAATGTTTTTAAACAAATTGAAACAGTTTTTCTTTGAATTTTAGACTTTTATATCTATACAACATTTAGACCTTCAGATAGATGTAGGTTCTACTTATAAATTCATTTTCTGAAGAAAAAATACTTTATCTTATAACATTGTTCTTGATATAATAAAAGTGTTAAGGAAACCAATTTGCAGCAGTTATTGTAATATACTACATTGTTGGTTGATATATCTGAAAGCGTTATATATGACATCAAACTCCTAATATATCTTATATCCTTATCTACCTACCTACCTAAGCAATGTTGAATTCACAATCTGAATCTGCTCGTACATCATTTAAGAAATAAAACTAGAGTTTTAATCACTCTATTAAACTTCATGACACTCACGGGAGTAAATTCAAATAATGACCCTCAATAAATTCACAATGCTATAGATATTACCAACCATCCTGAACTATAGGTTGACCATCACCCTAACGCTACTGTCGATAATTAATAGTATATTTCCAAGTAATTTGATATAATATCAAGTAAACTGTTTTATCCTTTATGTTTGCAGTACTTCTGAATTGGAACTAGTTAGCAATAGTTGTCTTTTTATTGTTCAGCAGTTTGCATCAATCCAGTGTACTTTCTTTTGGATCTTTTGAGTCTTCCACTGTTGAAGGCATTATCAACAACGATAGAAATTCTTTAAATGTTTGAAAATATATCATTTGACATTAGCATACTCACATGAAAAAAGAAACCATTTTTGGTTAAAGAAACCAAAATAAACAACAACAAATAATGATGTAAACTACAGAAAATATTTTCTAAACGTGATTATGATCTTAATTGGATTTGTTTCGATTTT